GGTAATAAAAGCCATCCCTGTTCTTGTCCACAACTTTATCACCTCATCGCTCACTACAGTGCCCAGAAAGAGGCTTGGTTGGTTAAGCTCCTGGGTGGAGGCCCAGGGGAATGGGATCTGATCAGCAGAAGACAACCTGAGGTGGGAAGTGGAGTGTGGGGTCCAGCCCTGGTGACTTCAGGGACCCCTTTGGTGTTTTCTCTCCCACCCCTCCCTACAGAAAGGTGGCGATGCCCTCCTGCATTCAATGAAAGCCAAAACCCGACCAGCTGTCAGGAACATGTACCGATCGGTGAGACTGGGCTGGATGGCAGCTTATGTTGGCTGGGGTGGCCACGGGGAGGGACAGATGGGGTCTCTGTGTTGTATGTGTATGTGTGCACATGTGTGCCTGTGCGTGTAGAAGCCAGAGGTTGGCATTCTCACGTACTACCCTCTTTGGGGCTTGTTTTTGAGAGAGGTTCTATGTGGCCCTGGCTGGCTTTGAACTTATAGCGATCCACCTGCCCCACCATACCCAGTAATTTGGGCTCTTTTTCGGGGGGGGGGGTACATTTATTTATTTGGGGTATTTGTTTGTGCCATGGTGCAAGTGTGGAGATCAGAGGTCAACATGTAAAAGTCAGTTGTGTTAGCCCAGCAGGGGTGGCACACACCTTTAACTCCAGCACTGGGGAGGCAGAAGCAGACTGATCTCTGTGAGTTTGAGGCCAGCCTGGTCTACAGAGTGAGTTCCAGGACAGGCTGGGCTACACAGAGAAACCCTGACTCAAAAAAACAAAACAAAACAGTTGGTTGTGTCCTTCCACCATGTGGGTCCCAAACATGGGAATCAAATTCAAGTTGTCAGGTTTGGCCCAATCACCTTCACCGCTGCGTCTTCTTGCCACCCTCCCCTTGTTTTCTGAAACAGAAACCCGGAGCTGACTAGCTTAGCCAGGCTGCCCAGTGCTCCAGGCATCTTCCTCTCTCTCCCCAGCCAGAGCATTACAGGCACACACCACCACACCCAACGTTTTCTGTGGAAGGAAAGAATTTAACCAACTGAGGCTGCTCTCCAGCCCAACAGAGATGTTCCAAGTACTCACAGACAACTGGACATTTTGATCAAAACAGGCATTAAATATGCACTTAAGCTGGGTGGTGGTGCACTGGGGAGGTAGAGGGAAGTGGATTTCTGTGGGTTCAAGGCCAGTCTGGTCTCTAGATTGAGCTCTGGGGCTTATTTTCATTTGGCTTTTTTTTTTTTCTTTGTGTGTTTGTGTGTGTGTGTTTTATGTGGATGGGTGTGCCTGTTGGCCTGTTTGTACATACACTGTGTATGCAGTGCCTGTGGAGGCCTGAAGAGAGTGTTGGGTGCCCTTTGGAAACCCAACAGTTTAAGGCAGATGTGAGCCACCTGATGTGGGTGCTGGGAGTTGAACCTGAGTCTCTGCAAGAACAGCAAGTGTTCTTAGGTAATGAGCCATCTCTCAAGTCCCACTGTCTTAAGATTGGGATGTGTTTTGGTTTGTTGGTTGGGTTTTTTTTTGTTTGTTTGTTTGTTTTGTTTTGTTTTGTAGCCTTGGCTGCCCTGGAACTCAATGTGTAGATGAGGGTGGCTTTTAGCTCACAGAGATCTGCCTATGTCTACCTCCAGAGTACTGGGATTAAAGGTGTGGCCACCACTCAAGGCCTGCCATGTTCATGACTGCTAGAATTACTTCTTGCCCACTTTTATTGGGCAGCCAGACAAGGCCTTCGTCAGCACACAGCTCCCACCAGTGGGAGGAAAGACAGGAAGATCAAGAGTCAAGACCAACCTTGACAACACAGAGAGAAAGCTTGAGGCTAGCCCAAGACACAAGACTCCTTCCTCAAAAACCAAACCCTTAGTCTGAAAGACATAGCTCTTTGGGTAGAGTATTTGACTGGCACACACAAGCCCTGGGTTCCACCACCAACACCATGGGAACTTGGCACAGTGGTACCTGCCTGTCATCCAAGCACTAGGGTGGTCAAGGTCAACCTCAGTTACTTGGGAGCTTGAAAACAAGCCAGGGCTATATGAGAAAGAAAATGAAGAAAGCTGGGCATGATAGTGCATGCCGTTAGCCCCAGGACTTGGGGTGCAGAAGCAGGTAGATCTCTAAAAGTTGGAGGCTAGCCTGGTCCATATAGCAAGTTCCAGGACAGCCAGGACCACATAGTAAGAATCTGTCTCAAAATCAGCCAGGTGATGGTGGCACACACCTTTAATTCCAGCAGAGACAGATGGATCTCTGAGTTTGAGGCCAGCCTGATCTACAAAGCGAGTTCCAGGACAGTCAGGGCTGCACAGAGAAAGCTTGTATCTAAATAGAAATTTTTTAATGATAAAATTTAGGGCTGGCAAGATGGCTCTTACTATCAAATTTGACAACCTATGTTTGATCCCTAGAATCCACATAATAGGAGAAAAACTGACAGCCCCAAGTTGTACTTTGTCCTCCATACTTGTGTCATGACTCATTCTCCCTCTCAAATAAAACACATAAATAAAAGTAAACACACACACAGACACACACACACACACACACTGACAGCCAGGATCATTTGACTACCTTTGTTACTTAGCTTCCATTCTTGATTTCTTTTGGGGGAGGGAGCATGTCTGAAGCTCAAAATTTCCCTCAGACCAGCTTTTACAGTTCAGATCTGTCCATTCGATTTTAACCCTGACACATGATGGTAAAACCTTTGGCTTATGGTAGGTGACTTCTTCCAGGAATATTGTGCACTAGTCAAAGGTACAAACATAGCTGGGAAGACAGAGATGGGGTGGGTGGCAGAAAAAAGCCATCCTGGGAACCTGGGTCTGACAGTGCTGGCTCATCATCCTAGGCGAAGAGTGGCTTGAAGGGTGTGCAGAGCCTGCTTATGATTAAGGTAAGACAACCCAGGATGAGTTCTCCACCCACGGGTAATTCAAAGGAGTGGGGATGGTACCCCAGCCCACATGTGCATCCTTCCACAGGATGGAGACCCTGGCCTGCAGAGAGGGGGCTCCCTGAGAACCCCAAGCCTCACCAGCCGCTCAGATCGCCTGCAACAGCGCCTGCCTATCAGCCAACACTTTGGGCAGGTGAGGATGCCCACCTTCCACCACCTCACTCCCACACACAGTGAGGACGCCCTCCCTCCCCATCCCCCACACACACCACAGACCACCATGCATGCACGAATCACACAACACACATGTTCACACACATATATTCTCCCCATGGATTCTCCCCAAACCCTCCACTTGTTCCCAGTGTTCACCAAAGTATTTCACTTTGTTGAAGCCCCAATGTAGCTCAGGCTACCCTCAAACTCACCATATAGCCAAGTATGACTTTGAACTCCTGGTCCACCACACCGTTTAAATGGTGCCAGAGATCAAACCCAGGGCCCTGTGCATGTTAGGCAAGCCCTCTACCAACTGAGTTCCATTTTCTCAGCTCCTTTGGCTTGGGAGATTTGGGGTTTGGGGGTATTGTTTGTTTTTAGACCAAACTGTCTCAAATTCAGAGATTCACCCCAGCTGTTTTGTTTTTAGAGGAGTCTCACTATGTAGCCAGCCAGGGCTCAAACTTGCAGTGATCCTCCTGCCTCAGGCTGCAGAGTGCTGAGAGGGAAGACTCGCAGCAACATGCCTAGCTTTCTTTCCAACTCAAGCTGGAAAGCCCCGGCCCTGATTCTGCAGCTCCTGGGCCCCTCCCCATTCTTCCTCCTTTATCTTTCTCAGAACAGGCCCCTCCGCCCTAGCAGGAGACTCAGGCGGGAAGGGGGACCTTCCGAACCCTTCGGAGAGAGGTAAGAATTGAAGCAGGTCGAAGATGGAGGTGCAAGGGTCATGACTGATGAGGAGGGATGCCTGCAGACCCTGGAGCAGCCCAACGAAGCCCAAGATGTCCATCCTCAATCCAGGAGCCCTGCCTTGAGCCCCGAGGACACCCAGAGTCCCTGGGCAGAGGAAACACTAGATGGCAGCTTTCTGGGGTCCGGAGAAGAACTGGATCTGTTGAGCGAGATTCTGGACAGTCTGAGCATGGAAACCAAGAGTGGCGGTCGGCTGAGGGCCAGCCAGAGCTTGGACTGCTGTCAACAGGGGGCATCAGAGAGCTGCTTCAGCCTGGTAAGACCCTCACTGCGCCCTCCCAACTTGTCAGTCCCTTCCCCACCTGACCTCAACCACACCCCTGTCCCCTGCTCTGCCTAGCCTGACATCCCAGCAAGGTCACCATGGCAACTAGAAGACGATGAACGATCCCTGGAATCCCAGCCCTGGTCCCTGCCGGGGGACCTGCAGTCTCTGCAGGACACCCCATCTTTAGAGGTTGCATGCTACTCCAAGGACTGTTCTCAGCCGCTCTCAGACATCTCTTTGCCGGCATCTCCAGCCACTTCGGCAGACCTCAGCAGCCAAGGGGACCCTGAGCCCTCTGTTCCCACCAAGCTGAATCCTAAAATCCCACAAAGCCCTTGCCCCAGGCTCCTCACAGTGCCCACTCAGCCCAGCCCCCCAGAGAGTCCCCAACTTCTTGCCCCCACAGAGCTCAACTCTGGCACTGTCGGGACATTACAATCCATTCGGTCTCCCTCACACTCCAATTCTCCAGAGAACCACAGAAACCAGCCTCCACAGGTCCTGCAGGATCAGGCTGGAGTCCAACCGAAGGAGCTGGGAATAAGCAACCGGCAAGGGTCCCCAGCCAGACGGCCTCGAGTTGCTGATCTCAAAAAGTGTTTTGAAAACTAAGAACAGGGATGTGGAAGGGACCCCAGCTCTCAATAAAGCTGATTTTTTTTCCTTGATAAGTTTATCTGGGGGCCTTCTGTCAGCTCAGACACCTACTTCACCCACCACAAAAGCGCTATCTTTAAGGTTCATCTGAAGGCCTTCCCCCCACCCATTTCCAGCCTGTTAAACGGATCCCCCAAATGTTTACAATTCAAAACAAATTTATCTAAGCTGATGTTCCCACAATCTAAAAAAAAAAAAAAAAAAAAAAAAAACTTTATTATACCTTACTATTAATTTCATATAAATATATAAAAAGTGAGCAGCCCCCATCTTCCCTTGCTCTCAAAGTCAAGGTCTTTGAAGAACTTTCTTCCCTTCTACTCTTAAGCATTGGGTGAGTCTGATTGCCCAGAGAGGGTGCTGCCTTCCCCCAAAGTCACACAGCAAGGAAGGGAAGATGGATGACAGGGAAGTAGGGGGAGGAGCTAGATGGGCAGGCAGCCCCGCACTGGCTCCTTGGAGTCCTGGGGGGCCCGGGCCTCAGCTGCTGCATGGGAAAACTGAAAGAAAGGACAGGAGGTTTGTTGGGCCTGTAGTCACGGTAGAAGACACAGCAGAGGCAAGATCATATGAGGTAAATGGTAAGAAGGTGAGGCGCCCGGCCCGGCTCCCCCAGCTTCATGCAGAACCAAGCAGAAGCCGCATGCTGCAGAGCACACCAGCGGGGTGCCCCAGGGTTCCCCATCCCAAGTCCTCGTGAGCCATCAGAGGCTGGCATGGCTCCGAGGTGGCTGCTGTGGGCCAGGGTATGCTAAGGCAGTCCTGGGTGGTGGTGATGGTGGCGACGGCGGCCTATGGCTGACACCCCAGCGTTCAGATAAGCCGTTCCTCCGGGGGCAGCTTGAGGTTGGGGGGTGGTGGAGCTCGGGCACCCACCTGCTCCTCGCTGCTGGGCCGGTAGGTGCCCTCTGTCTGGCGCTTTTCTCGAAGTTTCCGAATCAGCAGGAACAGCACCACTGCTAGGAGGATGACTCCCAGGATGGAAAAGACCACAGCGATGGCTACAACGGCCTCTGAAGACTGCAGGGAGCGAGAGAGGGGACAGGTGTGGCCAACTGCATGTGAGCCCTTCTCACCCCCACCGACCTCACCTGACAGGGTCCTGTCTGCTTTCTGGGGTTTCAAAGTTGTCCTCATACCTAGAAACACATCCTCAGCACCTCTCACACGTGTCCTCTGTCCCTGCCCCTTCACACCTGCCCACTCTGGGCTACATATGAGTGTTTGGGGCTCTGGCCAGATACAATCCTCTTGTCCTCCCTTCTTTTTCCTTTCTTTTGTGTTCTGTTTGTTTGTTTGGTCAGAGTCTCAGGTAACCCAGGCTGGCTTTGAATTTACTATATAGCTAAGAGTAACTCTTGAGTTTCCTGCCCCCTCCTCCACAAGGCCAGCACTGGGACAACAGGCTTGAGTCACCACACCCAGCCTTTTTATGGTCTCTTGATGTGGTCTCATCTATACACCAGGCTGGCCTTAAATTGTGGTAATCCTCCAGCCTCAGCCTCCTAAGGGCTAGGGTGACAAGTGTGTATCACCAAGCCTACCAGGCAAGACACAGTATTTTTTTTTCTAAGACAGAAACTCACTGTAGCCCTGGCTAGCTTGAAATTTACTATGTAGACCAGGCTGGCCTTGAACTCAGAGCTCCATCTGCCCCTCTCTAAAGAGTGTGTGGACCACCACACCCAGACAAGACACAATATTCTTGTCCACCCTGGGATTCTTTTTGTTTGTTTGTTTTATTTACTTTAAAGACAGAATTTCTTTGTGTAACAGCTCTGGAATTTGCTCTGTAGACCAGGCTGGCCTTGAACTCAGAGAGATCCACCTGCAACTGCCTCCTGACTTCTGAGATTAAAGATGTACACCACCACCACCCAGCACTCTAAGTGGTCCCGTAGCTGTGATGTGTAGGTTGACTCCCAGAACCCCATAGACCAAGCATGATGGCACACACATGTCAACTCAGCAGTGAGGTGAAAGCAAAAGGGTAAGAAAGTCAATGTCATCTGGCTACAGAGGACATTGGAAGCCAGTCTGAGCTACACCAGAACCCATTTAGAGAGAGCAGGGAGAGAGAGGGAGGAAGAGAGAGAGAAATCCATGGCAAGGGATGGTGTAAGCTTGTTGCAATGCCTAGAATGTGCAATCCTTAATAATAATGTCCCTGGGGGTTGGTGGCACACGCCTTTAGTCCTAGCGCTCAGGAGGCAGAGGCAGGCGGGTCTCTGTGAGTTCAAGGCCAGCCTGGTCTACAGAGGAAGTTCCAGGGCAGGCTCCAAAACAATACAGAAAAACCCTGTCTTGAAACACCAAAATAATAGTATCTCTCTACATTGCCAGTGTTCTAGTCTCTCACACACGTGCTCTTACTGCTTGGCACCCTCCCAACTCACCAGGCCCCCATTGAAACCAGAGTCTGGGGGTAGAGTCGCATTATTTGTTAAAGGGTCCAGTGCTGTGGAATAGAAAGAGAAAAAAAAATCTATGCCAGCTCTTCACTAGACATCACACACACACACACACACACACACACACACACCACTCAGCAAGAGCAAGTCAGGCTCTCTTCACTAGGCATTCACACACACACACACCACACCACACTCAGCCAAGCCTTGTATAACTCCTTTCCAAGTTTCAAGTCGGAATAGAGGCTGCAAGTATAGCAGCCAAGCCACCCACTACTCCACCCTCAGGTGTGGTATTGGTTCCTCTGGCCACCATCAGCCCAGTAGGGAATAATCTGGCCAAGGTTACCACTGTTAGCCAGACCATTAGAACAGTGTCCCCACCACCACCAACACTCTGGCCCAGAGCTCTTAAGGACCTGGGTGGGGCTCAACCTTTCCCTGGAGTGTGTGACTCACAATGCCCCCCCACCCCCAGGCTCCCGAAACTGGAACCAGAGAGACAGAGGGAAGGTCTGGCTGAGTCCACACCTACAGAGGGCCAGCCCTGTCAGCTGGGCCTTCTGACCTCCTCCAGGTCCCCTGGCTGCTTAAGACTCTCAGCTATGCAGACTCAGGTGCCCTGGCTCTCCTCCCCTCCTCCACCTTCGGGCTCTGCCCAACAACCCCCAGCTCCCAAATTCCACAAGACTTAAGGACTCAGGAATCCTGGACTGCGGGTGCGGGGTCTGCTTGATGGTAGAGCGCTTGCCTAGCATCCAGGAGAATGTGGGTTCCAGCCCCAGCAACGCAAAAAAAAAAAAAAAAAAAAAAAAAAAAAAAAAAAAAAAGAAAAGAAAAAGAAAAGAAAAAAAAAAGAAAGTTCGGAGGTGGGCTAGACTAACTTGTACTTAAGCCCTGAGGCTTTGGACCGGGTCCTCAAACACATTCTATGCCCATTCCTCAGATCTTTTACCCTCTCTGGGTCGCAAATGCCCGATCCTTCTGAGCTCTACCCGGGAAACCTACTCTCACCCCAGCGCTGCCCGGAACGGTACCTACTTGTTTGGCTCCAACTGGCGGGCAGCATCGGCAGACCAAATGCCAAGAGCAACCGCCTCAGGCCTGGGGTCGCCATGAGCTTGGGCGACGATTGGTGGCGCCAAGGACAGGACTTCCCCGCGGCTTCAATTCCTACCGCATCTTGGGGTCGAAGACGACACCTGCGACTCGGGACCTGGACACTAGACCAAAGGAGAGGCCGCAGTGTGGGGCTGGGGGCTGGACCCAGCTGGGCTCAGGCCCCAGCGACAGGCGACCGAGCTTGGAGTGCTCTCCCCACCCTTGGCGCCAAGGGTCAGAGATTAAAGATTAACTCTCGGGCGGCGTTCCTGGGCCAGGGAAAGGGAAGGAGGAGGTGGGGACAGGCCAGGCTGAATGCCCTGCCTCCCTACCTGGCCCAGACGTCTGAATGGGACTTCGCGGAGGTTCCCAATCTCAGGTCCCCGACTGGAACCCCGAGTCGCTGTCCTTCACCCCGTCGCTCCGGATCCCACCCGCCCCGCCCGCTCACGTGACCCGGAAAGTTTAGTCACCCACCTAGGCAGGGAGCGCACTTCCGGCTTGTGCACCTGAGCCTGGCTGAGAGGGGCGGGGCCGAGGAGGCGGGGCCGCGCAGCCAGAGCACCTGTAACGGGAACCCCATTGCGACAGGAGCAACACGAAAGGCGGAAGCAAGCAGGTGTAAGGACCGCAGAGGGGGTGGTGACACGCCAGAAAGATACACACCTGTAAAGGGAGGGCTCCGATGAAAAATTAACTGAAAAATTAACATCTGTTGTTGCTAACCTGTATCCTAGGCATTCTGGAGGCTGAGGCAGTAGGATCCCAAGTTCAAGGCCAGCCTGAGCAACTCTGTGAAACTCTTATTTCAAGATAAAAAAGTAAAAGGGGGCTGGGCCGTGGTTCAGGGCCAGAACACATGCCTGGAATCACCTAATGGCTCATGGGTAGAGCTCTACCTAGAAAACCATAGTGCTGTGACAGGATGGCCCCTGGCTCAGTCATGCATGTCTCCCTAGCATGCAGGAGGGTTCCATCTTTAGCCGCACAATCAACCAACCAACCAACCTGTATGGACTAGTTCTATAGAAAGATACACATGTGGACCTGTATGAATAATGTATGTATAATGTATAAACATCTGCTTCGAGTCACGCCTGTGCGGTAAATTGACATCTGGACAAAGAGCACCTGTGCAGAATTTCGCTCTTGAAGGCCTTACATCCACACTGAAAGACCTCTGCAGGAGGGGCTCCACAAACTGGTTTATCGTGTATGAGGTCCACTTGTCAGGGAAGTGTCCAAGAAAGTACCTATGTCCCCATTGACACGTACCAAGAACTATCTGCGCATGGAAACATCTGGTAGATGGTAGAGGTGAAGGGTTGTGCGGGACTCTCACCTGCTCACCACACATGTATGGGCACAGCCTGGGCAGGAACCACATAATCTCTGGATGTATCTTTGGGTAAAAGGTTATCATAAACTAGATACGATTACATCCCAGCAATTTGGAATTTGAAGCAGGAGAAGTACTGCACGCTCCAGGCCAACTAGACCCTACTCAAAACAACAGCGAATGGTCAGCGAATGGTCATAGAGCTGAAGCTGGGGTTCACTGGCTAGAGTGCTCCTCTAGTGCGAACAAAACCCTGCGACAACCACTGTAAAGGCTCGTGCCTTAAATCCTAGGCGGATATCTGTGACTTTCAGATCAGCCTCGTCTACATAGTGACTTCCAGGGCTACATAGCGAGACCGTGTCTGGAAAATAAAAACAAAAACAAAACAAACAAAATCCCCTAAGAATAAATAAAAGAGGCTTGCTATAGCCGTAAGTGGAAATCCCTGCTGGGAATTTTAACCTCTTGCTTCCTCCTCTGTAGCGTGGGAAAAACTAGTGCCACCTACCTACCTCACAGGGTTTGGGCAGGAACGGTACTGAGCAGAAAGTGGAAGGCTGGCATGCGCAGCGCACTTAAAGTTAGCTATTATTTATTATTCGCGGTTTAGCGGGCGCTCTTGCCCCTGACGGTGAGACGAGAAACTGCACCCGAAACTGGTGGGAGGGACATCAGCAGGTGCAACCACTGTCCCCAGCTGAGGCCCCGCCTCCTTATCCTCAGAGGCGTCGGAGACTCTAGCCTAGACAGATCAGCCAAGAGCAGCCTTCTGAATCAGGATGGGGCAATGCACCTTTAAGAACGCTTAGCGGGCTGCGGGCTGCGGGATTGGAGGCCGCGGCGGGTCAACTGGGAAGCCCCGCCTACGTGGAGCTGCCCCGTGCAGCTCAGGCGGCTCTGACCAATAGGGATTTGATTTTGCAGCCGCGCCGCGGGTTGACCTTGCGTTTCTCTTTTTGAGTGTCACCGAGAAAAGGAGGCGCGCGGGCGGGATGTAATGTTGGGGAGGGAGCGCTCCCCTTTGTTGATCTTCTGTTTCTGTTATTGATTGGGGAATCTGACAAGAGCGGGCGGGCAAAAGAAGCGCTTAAGCTAGTTCCGAGTTTTTGCGTAGGCCTAGGAGAAGCAAAAACTTGAAATCTTGATGAGGGTCCATAGGAGAAGGAGGTCGAAAAGAACGAGATTACAAAATCCAATCTCTGAAAATTCTCTGCCAAAACCATTTAAAGAATAGGGGTAAACTGAGGCAAGCAGATCACCGACACGACACGGTTGCTTTTCCTACAGTCCCAGGAATGCGGGCGCTGTCAGATACGCAATACCAGAGCTCCTAGAATTCTTCCCCACGCCCCCTGCTCCGCCCCCGGCCCCCTCCCCCCAGTAATGCGGGTCGGAGGAGGAGACGCAAGTTCTGGAGCGGGCGGGGACGACTAACATTTATCACTTCCAGCAAGTGCCAGAGCTTGGCCCCGCAGCACAGAGGCTACGGTGCGGGTGGTCGCGGGAGCTGGCCCTGAGGGGACCCCGGGGGGGAGGGGGAGCCGTAAAGCCCCCGCCGAGGCCATCGCTGCGGGGCCTCCCCTCCCCCCCGGGCAAGCGCCATGCGGGGGGGCTCCGGAGACGCGGAGCGACGGCAACGCTGGGGTCGCCTGTTCGAGGAGCTGGACAGCAACAAGGACGGCCGCGTGGACGTGCACGAGTTGCGCCAGGGGCTGGCCAGGCTGGGAGGGGGCGATCCCGACCGTGCACAGCAGGTACCACGGGCAGCGATCACCGCTGCAGGGCCCTCCCGCTCCGTAACCCATGCTCCCGAATGCGGCGGCTGCGGCAGCTGCAGGCTACCTGTTGTCTGGCTAGACCCACCACCTGTCATCTCCCTCCCCCCCTGCACACACGCATCTGACCTAAGGCCATAGCGAGACAAAACTGCCAAGGCCCCGGGCCTGCAGTGCCAGAGGCTGCCAGGACCCAGTGACCCCTCCCACCCCCGCGCCCAGGCTGTGGGGTGCCTGCTGGAGAATTGACCGTAGAGCCAGGAGGCTTCCCAGTCCAGGGCCCGGAGACACACCCTCCGCTGCTCTCCCGCACGACCCGAGGGGTGACCCGCTCCCACCTTCAGCGAACACACTTCCCCACCCTGCTGGAGCACTCACTGAGCCCCCAGCCAGCTCCCCTAGTCTCTTATTTACATTCCCTGCCAGTGCTTTTCGGGAACTGGCTGATGGCCCCCTGGTTATTCCAGCCAGAGAGTCAGTCCATGTGCTTCCACTGGGGTCTGACCTATCTAGGAAGGAATTCGAGCTTGGGTGCAGCTCAGTGGCAAAGCGCTTTGCTAGCATGTGCAAAGGTCCTGGGTTCCATCCCCGGTACGGGAGGTGGAGGAGAGACAGAGAAAGGCAAGAACGTGTCCCTCACACCTGAGCCCCTAGATGTGCCTGCAACAGACCTGTTGCATTTGTGTTGACCTTGATTCTAAGGTCCCACTTTTCCAGTGGGAATATAGAGGCCCATGGATATTGGCTTTGATCTGTTGGGCTCTGTAGAAATCAGAACTGTTTCTAACGGGACACCCTACCCCCACCCCTGAGACTGCCACAGAGAAGGGTTTTATAAGAAAAAGCTATGTGGGCAGGTTTGGGAGACAAGGTGATGCAGGAGAATCAGAGTTCAGTGTCATTCTCCAATATAAAGAGAATGAGGCTAGCCTGAAATATGTGAGACCATCTAAAAACAAAAATGTGCCCAAGGTTGTCACTTCGCAGTTCTATGACCTTGAACCACTTCTGTGACTTGGAAGCATCTCAGTCTGCCTACCAGGACAACTGGGCAGCAACCAAACACTTATTGTGGCTTGGGGTATCTTGCTGAAAAGTGGGCTGTTGAGGGGTAGGGATGATGGTCCCTGTCCCCTTTCCTTGAAGTACTGGGGCTTTGGGTTCCTGAGGCATGAGGCATATTGTAACACAAGCACGTTCGCGCGCTCTCTCTCTCTCTCTCTCTTTCTGGGAGGGTGCAGTCTGCTGAGTTCCCTGTATCTCACCCTTTCTCTTCCAGGGCATCTCCTCTGAAAGGGACCCTGATCCAGATGGTGGCCTCAGCCTGGAGGAATTCACTCGCTACCTGCAGGAACGGGAGCAGCGCCTTCTGCTCATGTTTCACAGTCTTGACCGGAACCAGGATGGTGAGATGAGCTCCAGATTGGGGGATGGGCAGATGGGTTAGAACCCGCAGTGCTGGGGAGAAGGGGAGGGCTGCTTCTGACTCATGGGCTATTTCGGGAGTTCTCAGCCCCAGCTAGGTGATCTGAGCCCAAACCGGCCCACCCCACCTCCTGTTCACTGTCTCTGCCCTCGGATATTTCTTTTTGGACAGTATCATAGCTTCAGGGACTCTTGGATCTAGGGACAGCCCCTTATCCAAGTGTCTCCCAGTATCTTTAAGGTTGGAGAGATAGCTCAGGGGGTAACCACAAGGTCCTGAGTTCAATCCCTAGAACCTATGCTGGGAGAGAGAAACTGGAAAATGAATAAATAAGCAAATATTGCTTTAGCCTCTTCTAACATAGAGCCTCTGCAATCACCCCTGAACTCATTCATTCCTGATCATGGAGGACTCCCCAATACTGCCCAGTTCCAACTCTGAGCACCCACACACACAACCTGTATACATATCCTTCCCCAAAGGCTGAAGAGCTGACCCAGTCAGTGAAGTGCCTACTGTGCAAACATAGGAACTTGAGTTCAGCACCCAAGTTAAGCTGGGTGGGGTGGTGGCCACCTGTGATCCCAGCACTGGTGAAGTGGAGACAGGAGGATCTTGGGACTCACTCTGTCAAGCTGGCCTAGCTGAGTCAATGAACTCCAGATTTAGTGAGAGATCTTGTCTCAAAGGGAATATGAAGAGAGACTGAGGAAGACACGACCATTGACTTATGACCACACACACACAGGCGCGCGCGCGCGCACACACACACACACACACATGCTTCTGGATCCCCCTGGTCCAGTCTTTGGGGCACCCCCTTCCCAGGTCACATCGATGTCTCCGAGATTCAACAGAGCTTCCGAGCACTGGGCATCTCCATCTCGCTGGAACAAGCAGAGAAAATCCTACACAGGTGAGTTACTGGAGTTTAAGGCCCTTGGAGACCCACCCCCACCCCCACCCCTCTCCTGCCAGACAGTTCTGTCCTCTGAACCCCAGACCTGGTTCCAGGGCAGAGATGAGAAGTTAGACTTTGGAGTCAAACAGATCTTAGGCCAGTAGACTGAAGTCCCTGTCTGGCCCTGAAAAGTGTTGGTAGGTACTACAGCTACCCACATAGGGTTGGTCTGAAGGAGTTATACAGGCAAGCTAGCCAGACATTGCAACTAGATCATACCTGGGGCTTAAACCTGTCCTCCTAGCACTTAAGAGGCCAAAGCAGGAGGGTTGCCATGAGTTTGAGGCCAGTTTGGACTTCAGAATGAGACTTCCCTTAAAAATAACTCCAAAAAGCCACACATGTGAAGTTGGCAAGATGGCTCAGTAGGCAAGGGCTCTTGCCCCTCAAGCTTGATGGGAACAGTTGAATCCCCATTTCCCACGTGGGGGAAGGAGAGAATCAACCCAGCAAGTTGCCCCTGACATCTACATGCAAGCCATGGCACAAGTGAGTACACACACCACACGTGTGCATGTATACATGCACACACACACACACACACAATAAATGTGTTTTACCAAGTTACACGAGGGGCTGGAGAGATGGCTCAGTGGTTAAGATCAATGACTGCTCAGCTGGGTGGTGGTACATGCCTTTAATCCCAGCACTTGGGAGGCAGAGGCAGACTGATCTCTGTGAGTTCAAGATCAGCTTGACCTACAAGAGCTAGTTCCAGGACAGCCTCCAAAACCACAGAGAAACCCTGTCTTGAAAAAACCAAAAAAAAAAAAAAAGCAATTACTGCTCTTCTAGAGGAAGAGGGATCAATTCCCAGCACCTACACAGTGGTTCACAGCTGCATGTAGTTCCATTTCCAGGATACCCTCACATAAACATACATGCAGGCAAAACACCAATGCACATTGGAAAAATAATAATAAATTTTTTAAGTCAGACACAAAAACATAGCCCTACCATCCAGCATTAAGGATGCTGAGTCAGAAGAATTGCTATGAGATCCAAACTAGCCTAGTCTATTGAGTAAAAGCCCGACTCAATGAAACAGGGCTGGAGAAATGGATGGTTCAATAGTCAAGTGTGTGAATTATTCTAGCAGAGTTGGATTCCCAGCACCCAAGTCAGGTGACTCACAACCACCTGCAACTATGCTTTAGAACACACACACACACACACACACAATTTAAAATAAATAATTTTTTAAAAAGTTTTAAAACTCTTAGCTGGGTGGTAGCAGCACACACCTTTAATCCCAGCATTTGGGAGGCAGAGACAGGATGATCTCTGTAAGTTCGAGGTCAGCCTGGTCTACAAAGCTACACAGAGAAACCCTGTCTCAAAAAACAAAAAGCAAACAAAACAAGTTTTAAAAAACTTTTTGGCCAGGTGGCACATGGCTGTCATATCAGCACTCAAAAAGCTAAGGCAGGAGAATTTCCATGATTATGAAGCCAGCCTGGCCTCCAGGATAAGACCCTGTCTTAAAAAAAAAAAAAATGTAAGCATGGGTTATTGTTCTAGTCTCAGGTACTCAGGCAGGAGGATTGTTGTGAATTCCAAGCCAGCCTGGACTATAGAGTAAGACCCCATCTCAAACAAATAAGCCGTGTTTTAGAGAGGCAATGTACCCTATGCTCCCCAAATCCATGAAGGCTAGAAGCACCCATGATGGCCAGCCCAGACCTGAACCTGTGCCTACCCCACTTCCAGTATGGACCGAGATGGCACCATGACCATTGATTGGCAGGAATGGCGAGACCACTTTCTGCTGCACTCTCTGGAGAATGTGGAGGATGTCCTGTATTTTTGGAAACATTCTACGGTAAGATGGGGGCTGACTACAGGGATGGAGGCTAGTTCCCTTGAACTCATAAGGACTGGGCCAGGACTCTAGAGGTGTTGTCAGCATGTCGGGGCTCACTCAATGAAGCTCTGGGATTTAGGAGCCTGATAGCCCTAATGGACACCTCTATTATCAGCTCAAAGCCCTTTGGTCTTCCTCAGACTCCAGGGACAGTTGATAGGAATCAGGGTTTGGGGGAAGAAAATACACCAAATAGTGTTTCCACACTCAATGCACACAACTGCCAGCTGCTGGTGCTCATCGCCTGCTCTGAAGCTCACATGCAGCTGAGGGGAAGATGTAAGCAGGCAGACACCGTATTGGAGAGTCCAGAGGAGTCCCCTGGGGGGTTGGGAAGGAGATCAGCTCTTGCACCAAGATGGGGATCACAAAGGATCTGCTGGTGTCAGATCCACCTGTGGGATCTAACCAGAGCCTCATCACGTTTGCTTGTCCTGGGGAGATGTAGACAAGCACCCAGATAGGGTGACAACAGACCAAAGGAAGGATTCAGTCAAAGTCTGATTTGGTAGGCCTGTGGGGTTTTTGAGCTCTATTGCAGAGCACAGTAAAGGGTCACTTACAGGGGCTAGGTACCTCCCGAACAGCTGCGCCACTGCTGAGTCCCACCCCTTCATGGATGGAGTCTTTCAGTTAGCCTACTGCCTCCTTTATAGTTAGTGTTTCCCAGGATTCCTTGCAGCTGGGGTGGGACAGTGAGTGGAATTCCTGGGAGGTCCTGTGACTGCCCCTTCCATGCTAGGGGGATGCAATAGCTCCATTGCCATAGATCCAGTTAATCTATGAGCAGAACCAGATTGTTCTGCTCAGTTTGTTGCCATGGCTACCAAGCCAAGGTAATCGATGCCTTAAAATGGCAATCGGGTAATGATGTCAGGCTGAGAGAAAAGCCACACTACAATCCTCTTGGGAGATCCAGAGATGTCCACCACCAAAAAGATCCACAGTTGGGAAGTCTATGGCTAGACTTTAGGGGGGAGCACCCCTTGGGGAGGACTACTGGGAAAGGACTTCTAGGGGAAATTTTTCAGTAAAGACTCTTAGGGGAGTAATCCTGGGGGAAGACTCTTGAGGGAGGACTTCTAGGGGAGGACTCCCAAGGGAAGAAGGGCTTATGGGAACACTTCTAGGAGAGGCCTCCCCATGAAGGGGAGGGCTGAGAGAGCAGATCCTTTGACAGGATCCTGTGGATTTTTTTTTGGTGGAATCAGTGGATCCTATGGTAGGATCAGGTAGATTCACCAGTAGGATTCAGTAGATTCTTTGGTGGGACTCACTGGATCTTTTGGTAAGAATCAATAGATCCTTTGGTGAGATCAGGGGATCCCCTGGTATGACCCCCTTTCTTTTTCTTTTTTGTTTTTTGTTGTTTTGTTTTTCAAGACAATTTTTCTTTGTATCCCTGGCTGTCCTGAGACTCACTCTGTAGACCAGGCTGGCTTGAACTTACAGAGATCCATCTACCTGCCTCTGCCTCTGCCTCTGCCTCTGCTTCTGCCTCCTGAGTGCCAGGATTAAAGGCATGTGCCACCATTGCCTGGCTAGTGGCCCATTTCTTGAGTCGGTGGATTCTTTTTTAATAGTTACTTATTTTGTGTGAGGGGGCTCCTGTGTGGAGATAAGACAATTTAGGGAGGTCTGCTTTCTCCTTTAATCTTAAGGGTCCCATATATTGAACTCAAATCTTCAGATTTGGCCACATATATCTTGATCTAATAAGCCCTCTCATAGGCCCCTTGGTGGACTCTTTTGGGGGCTTCAGTGGACTAAATTATTATTTGGGTAACTTAATGGATCCTTTAGTGTGCTGGTTCTCAACTCATGGGCCACAGCCCTTTGGGATCCCTCAACCCCTTTCACAGCAGTCCTAAGGCCATTCAGAAAATACAGATATTTACATTGTAATTCATAACAGTAGCAAAATTACAGTTATGAAGTAGCAACAAGAATAACTTTGTAGTTGGGGTCACTACAACTTGAGCAATTATATTAAAGGTCGCAGCTTTAGGAAGGTTAAGAACCACTGTTTTAGTGGAACTCTGTAGATCTCCCAGAGGAATTCTAGGGTATCATAGAGGCACTACTGGTTGGATGTTTTAATAGCACATGGTGGGGTCCAAAAGGGATCTGCTGGGCTCTCCAGGCAAGGTCCTTTGAAGGCAGGGTTTAAGTAATAAAAAGACAAGCGCAGAGACACATGCCTGTAGTCCCAGCTACTTGGGAGGCTGAGACAGGAGGATCGCTTGAGTCCAGGAGTTCTGGGCTGTAGTACGCTATGCCTATCGGTTGTCCGCACTAAGTTCAGCATCAGTCCTTTAGTGGACTCTGGGGTATCCTCGATTTCATAGAGTAGCCTCCCCCACTTAGGACCCAGGTACATCCCCCCACCTCCACTGGGACATGACACCTTCAGCCCCCATCCTCAGGTCCTGGACATTGGCGAATGCCTGACGGTACCCGATGAGTTCTCCAGGCAGGAGAAACTAACAGGCATGTGGTGGAAGCAGCTGGTGGCTGGAGCGGTGGCAGGCGCTGTGTCGCGGACAGGCACAGCTCCTCTGGACCGTCTCAAGGTCTTCATGCAGGTGAGAGGACCTGAAGGGACTCACCCCATCATCCAGGTCCCAGACCTAGGAGGGCATCACAAGGCCAATTTCTCTGCCCACTCAGGTCCATGCCTCCAAATCCAACCGGCTCAACATCCTAGGGGGCCTGCGGAACATGGTTCAAGAAGGGGGAATCTTGTCCCTCTGGCGGGGCAATGGGATCAATGTGCTCAAGATCGCCCCTGAGTCGGCCATCAAGTTCATGGCTTACGAACAGGTAGGTCCAGGTATATTCAGCCTTGGGAAGCAGAAACTAAACACAAGAGTTCAAGGGTTTGGCTTGCACCACGCCCCCTACTGGCCAACTCGGTGCCAGCTGGAGAACAGTGGAATGCATGGACAGCTCAATAATTCCCAAGGTTCCTATGCACCCCACACCACCCCATGTTCCACCCTCAGATCAAGCGGGCCATCCGGGGGCAGCAAGAGACACTGCACGTTCAGGAGCGCTTCGTGGCTGGCTCCCTGGCTGGAGCCACAGCTCAAACCATCATATACCCCATGGAGGTGAGAAGGAGGGGACCCAGGAAGAACCAGCATGGGAGGGTGGGGCCTGCGGTTCTGCTTCATTCCCCACTCTGCACTGTGTGTGGAGCTAACTGTAACCCTAACCGCCTGACTTGGGGCCAGGAGCCATTTTCTGAGATGTAACTTCTGGAGACTTGGTAGTCATAGTAACCGGCCATTTATGGATAGGCCTGCCAAGTGCGAGGATGGCAGATATGAGCCACCACACCTGATTTCTGTATTGCTGGGGATAAAAACTAGGACTTTGTGTACACTAGCTGGGCAATCAACCTACTCAGCTCCAGCTGGGTCCTCAGGACATCTGCTTTCAGAAGTGGCCTCTTTTAGGTGCCGCCACTCCTGGGCATGATGATTTTTGGAAGCAGTTTTTCAAGGGGTTGACAGAGCTCTCGCCCAGGTACTGAAGACAAGGCTGACTCTGCGCAGAACCGGTCAGTACAAGGGGCTCCTGGACTGTGCAAGGCGGATCCTGGAGCGCGAAGGGCCCCGCGCCTTCTACCGTGGCTACCTACCTAATGTGCTGGGCATCATCCCCTATGCTGGAATTGACCTAGCCGTCTACGAGGTCTGTGGGTAACTACTGGCCCTCCCTTTCTCCCTCCTCATTCTGGGATCTGGCCCTAGGACACTCCTTGCTAACCTAGTAGACTAAGAAGGGCAATTATGGATTTGAAAATTGTGGTGGTCCTTGGAACCCTGGAGAGTCCCTCCAGACATCATACCTTCCTTCTTCTATCACTCAAGGATGTGAAAACCTTGTTTCCAGTTCTCCATAGTGGCCAATACTTGCCATCCTGGGACTTAGGGGGTTGAGGTAGGAAGTTCTGAAGTTCAAGGCTGGCCTGCATTAGGTAGTCAGTTTCAAGACAGCCTAGTTATGTAAAAAGACCCTGTCTCGAAAAACAAAATTTATGCTGGGCCTCGTGGTGCACGCCTTTAATCCCAGCATTGGGGAGGAAGAGGCAGATGGGTCTCTGTGAGATTGAGGCCAGCCTGTGAGTTCCAGGACAGCCAGGGCTACACAGAGAAAACTTCTCTTGAAAAAAAGAAAAAAAAGAGGGGGATAGAGTGATGGCTCAGTGGTTAAGAGTACCAAATCCTCTTCCAGAGGACCTGGGTTCAATTCACAGCATTCATGTGACAGCTAACAACTGTCTATAACTCCAAGACATACATGCCAACAAAACACCAATACACATAAAATAAAAATAAATAAACTATTTAAAAAGAAAGAAGAGAAAAAATAAAAATAAGAATTAAAACAAACCAACAACAACCACATAGGAAAACAAGGCCAAAGAGATGGCTCAGCCATTAAGAGTGCTTGCTGAGGCAGAAGCAGGCAGATCTCTGTAAGTTCAAAGCCAGCCTGGCCTACAGAGTGAGTTCCAGGACAGGCTCCAAAGCTACACAGAGAAATCCTGTCTTACAAAACAAACAAACAAACAAAGAGTGCTTGCCACTTTGGCAAAGGACCTGAGTTTAGTTCCCAATGCCAACATCAGGTCTAACAGTACTCTATAAATCCAGATACAGGGCATTCAACACCCTCTTCTGGCCTCCAGAAGCACTATACTCTCATGGTGCACATACACTTATATAGGCACACACATGCACACATAAATAAAAAATAAACCTTTTCAAAAATTTAGAAAGACTACTCTTAGTCAGGCATAGAGGCTGGTACCTGCCATCCAACACTCAGAAGGCTAATGAAGGAGGATTACCACAACAACTAGGCATGGCAGTGCACACCTTTAGTCCCAAGCCTTGGGAGTCAGAGACAGGAGGATTTTTGTGAGTGCAAGGCCAGCCTGGGTCACAAAGTGAGACCCTGTCTCAAAACAAGAATAATAATAGAACAATCCCCCCCAGGGTGCTGAAGATGAAACCTGGGGGTTCACATTTGTCTTCTTGGAGTTATGGAACGTTTAGCTTTGTAGGAATTGGGGCCCCTCCAGATCTTAAGAGCATTAACACAGTGCAAAAACAAGCCTCAGATATCCATCATCCCCAAAGCATGTGTGAGTTCTGGCCTGGCCTACAGGATAGCACATTCTCTTCCTCCCTCCATTCCTTCCTTCCTTCTTTCCTTCCTATATTTTTCAATTATTTGTTATTTTCAAATTGTATTGTGTTTGGGTGTTTGTCTGCCTACACACTACATGCGGTACCTATGGAGGCCAGAAGAGGGCACCAGATCACCTGTAACTAGAGTTACAAATGGTTGTGAGTTGCCATGTGTGTGCTCGGTATTAAAACTGGATCCTCTGCAAGAATACCCAGTGAGTGCTCTTAAGCACTGAAATATCTCTCCAATCCCTCCTCCCCCACTTTATCTTTCTTTTTCCTTAAGACAGGGTCTTATGCAGCCTTGGTTGGCTTCAAACTTGCTAGATCCCAGAGGATGACCTTGAACTTCTGACCTTCCTGACTCTACTCCTGAGTGCAAGGGTGACAGGTCTATACTACCAGGCCAAATTAATGTGATGCTGGGTAGAATCCAGGGCTTTGTGTGTGGTAGGCAAATGTTCTACCAACTGAAATGCAGCTCTTTTGTTTTTAAAGATGGGGCTCACTATGCAATCCCCCTGCCTCAGCCTCCTGAGTACTAACATTACAGGTATAGTCACAATCCCCAGCAACAGAACATCGTGTGTGTGTGTGTGTGTGTGTGTGTGTGTGTGTGTGTGTGTGTGTGTTTAAATGTATGAAGGTCAGGAGACAACCCAGATGTTATTTTTCAGGTATTGTTCACCGAATTTTTTTGACATGGGATCTGGGGCTCATCAAAGAGGCTAGTAGGGTTCATCAGTGAGCCCAAATATCTCTGCTTCCCTAACACTATGGTTACAGGCATACACAACTATGCCTGGTCTTTGACATGGGTACTAGGGATCAAACTCAGGCTGCTATGCTTTCATGGCAAGAAGTTTGCCAACTGAGTCATCTCCCTAGCCCAGAACAGCTCTTTATTTCATGTTTATATCTGTGTGTGTCCACAGCACGTGTGAGGGGGGCAGAGGGTACCTTATAGGATCTGGTTCTCTCTTTCCACCATGTTGGTTCCAGTGATGAAACCCTAGTCATCAGGCTTGGTTGCAAGCACCTTTATCCACTGAGCCATCTTACCAGCCTGTAACAGCTCTTAATAACTCATTAACCATATATCCTCAGCACCCACATAATAGCTCTCAATCACCTGTAACTCCAGTCCTGGGGATCAGATGCCATCTTCTGGTCTCCACAGGGGACCCAATGCCCTCACCCAGACATACATAAAGGCAAAACATCAATGCATATAAAATAAAAATAAAAATTTTAAAACCCAAAATGAAGCTGGGTGGTGGTGGCACATGCCTTTAACCCTAGCACTCGAGAGGCAGAGACAGGCAGATCTTTGTAAATTCTAGGCCAGCCTGGTCTACTGAGTGAGTTCCAAGACAGCCAGGAATGTTACACAGAGAAACCTTGTCTGAAAAACAAAACAAAACAAAAAACCCAGAAAGCCAAAACGATCCTTAATCCTGGATGCACAGTCCTTCCCACTGGACAGTCAGTGTGATGAGGTCCCAGGCATTGAGGTGTGCACAGTGTAGGAGGCAAATAGGAAGGAATATAGGAAAATTGCCCACAGAAGCCAGGCAGGGTAACACAAACCTGCCATCTAGGACTGAGGTGGCTGAGAAGATGACAACTTCAAAGTCAGTATGGACTACAGGCAAAGCCCCTGTCCCAAATGAAAAAGCTTTAAGGGCAAAGGATGTAGCTCAAGTAGTGATCATTAGAATCCCCCAGCAATGGTTAAGAGTACTGCTTCTCTTCCAGAAGACCGGGTTCGAGTCCCAGCATCCACATGGCAGCTCACAACTGTCTGTAACTCCTGTTCCAGGGGATCCGACACCTTCATACAGGCATTCATGCAGGCAAAACACCAGTGTACATAAAATAAAAATAAATAATTAAAAAAGAATCCCCCAGTGAGAGACTAGGGCGTGGTCAGGGGCAGAGGCCTGCCTAGAATACCCCAGTGAGGGGCTGGGGGCGTGGTCATGGGTGGAGTCCTGCCTAGAGTCCCCCAGTGAGGGTTTGGGGGCATGGTCAGGGGTGGAGTCCTGCCTAGAGTTCCCCAGTGAGGGTTTGGGGGCATGGTCAGGGGTGGAGTCCTGCCTAGAGTTCCCCAGTGAGGGTTTGGGGGCATGGTCAGGGGTGGAGTCCAGCCTAGAGTCCCCCAGTCCGAGCCTGGCAACTGACACAGAGGGAAGACAAACCACATCACCATATCTAGTACCGGCAACCGTGGAATACAGAGCTGGAAACAAGGTCTTTGACACCAGGGTCTTCCTGTTTGCAACCCTCAACCCACCTGCCCCTTCTCTTCTAGACGCTGAAGAATCGCTGGCTTCAGCAATACAGCCACGAATCAGCAAACCCAGGCATTCTTGTGCTCCTGGCCTGCGGCACCATCTCCAGCACCTGTGGCCAGATTGCCAGTTACCCCCTGGCACTGGTCCGGACCCGAATGCAGGCCCAAGGTGAGAGGCCTGGGCGGGAGCTGGGGTAGGAAAGTCTGCCACTTGGGTCCTACCTGCTGTCACCTAAGTTCGTGTAGGTAGAGTCTGGGCTCAGTTCCTGTGGGTTTGGGTGGCCTGTTAGTCTTTCTTCTTGTCTGGGCTTCAGTTTACCCATTAGTGATGCTGAAGAGGGACTCTTTGACCCGGTAATTCAATGGCATCAAGTTCAGGAAAGTACTGCAGACACATTGTGGCATTTCTGGGCCTGCCAGTAACCTGAGCTGTTATTCAAAGCTAGGCGAAAACAAGGGAGTCAGGGATGCTGGCCACAGAATTAGCCAAAGTCAAGGAAGGACAGAGTCATTATTCTTTCTTTCTTCCTTTCTTATTATTTATTTAAGGGGACAGGGTCTAACTGTGTACCCCTGACTGGCCTGGAACTCACAGAAATCTGCTACTGGCCTCTGCCTCCTAAAGGTGTGCACCCCTACACCCAGCCTTAAGGACAGCCTAGTTACTGTGCGTGTTTCATTTTTACTTCAAGGTGTTTTAATTTTTTTAAGATTTATTTTTATGCTGGGCATTGGTGGCGCACACCTTTAGTCCCTGCACTTGGGAGGCAGAGGCAGGTGAATCTCTATGAGTTTGAGGCCAGCCTGCTTTACCTAGCTAGGTCCAGGACAGGCTCCAAAGCAATACAGAGAAACCCTGTCTTGAAAAACAAACAAACAAAAGGATTTCTTTTTATTTCCATGCATGTGTATGGGTGGCTGAGATCCACACGGACCCATCAGACTCCCTGGAGCTAGGAGGTCACTTGCATGGGTGCCAGAAACTGAACTCTGGTCCTCTGGACGAGCAGGAAACTCTCTTTTCTGCTGAGCCATTGATCCAGCCCTTGCATTTAGTTTAAGACAGAGGATCGCTATGTCCCAGGCTGGGCTGGAACTCAGGACAGCCCCCTGCCTCAGCTTTCCCACTGTTGTTGTTTTTCCTCTATATTTTTCTCCCACTATTTTCCTGTCCTGTTTTCCCTGGATCTGTTTGTGTGAACCTTGGTATTTGTTTGTGTTCCTTGATTTTTGCTGGAAAAATGATCAACAAATGAGATAAATGCTGTCTAGTTGCATGAACTTCATCCCCTGAGGAGGAATAAGGTTAACAAATCATTCCACCATTAAGGGTTGATTTGGGGTTGAGAAGAGGAGAGACAGGAACCCAACTTAGGCTGAGATACCACAGGCAGCGCCCCCAAACAGCCAGCTTTGGAATGGAGGAGGGGGAAATGAGCAGAAGTTAGCCCCAAAGACAAGGAGAAAATGAACGTTAAGAAAAGGTTTTTTTTTTTTTTCCTTCCTCTTGTCACAGACTCATAGGCACTCTTAGACACATAGCTGTACATACATGCTCCCACACAGAGATGCACATACACACGGTCACACACAGACACACTCTCACATTTACACACACCTGCTGTTTCAATCCATTCCCAAATGTGGCCTCTAAGATTGACAGTTCCTAGGTCCTCGGACATCCAGAGTCTTGTGGCAGGGCCCACTGTTCCTCTGTCACCCTCTTGCCTCCTTTTGAATGCCCCGGAGGTGGGGCCAGAGGGAGAAATGAGAGGGGGAAGCTCTGGTCTTACCTGGCTTTCCCTCCACCCCCCACCCAGCCTCCATTGAGGGTGGCCCACAGGTCTCCATGGTGGGTCTGCTTCGACACATCTTATCCCAAGAGGGTGTATGGGGCCTCTACCGGGGCATTGCCCCCAACTTCATGAAGGTCATTCCAGCCGTGAGCATCTCCTACGTGGTCTACGAGAACATGAAGCAGGCTCTGGGGGTCACATCAAGGTGAGGGACTGGGAACATATCACCCCAAGATTCCCTCATCTTCACCACGGTGTCCCCCATGCTGATGTCCTCAACCACTGATGACTAATGGCCTGAACAGTGGATCCTAATTCCCCACCACAAGCCGCTGGATTCCAGTACTCAAGTTCCAGGTCCTTGGCCTTGTGTCCTGACCACTATTTGGCCACTGGATCCCAGCACTGGATCCTCAACTTCACAACTTCACAACCAGACCCCCAGACCCCAAATGCTGTACCTCACACATCAGCAGTCTGACACTTGAAATGCAGAACTATCCACTCATCCTGGCCCCAAACCCTTATCCTAAAGCCCCTTGACCCTGCTCATCCACACCTCAGAGCTGGACCCTGCTTTTGCCTGCCCACCACTGTGTGCTGGGCCTCCCTATGTAGCGACAGATGGTCCCAATGCCCCAAGCATGGGGGCACACGTCCATGAACCCCATAGCCCAGACCTCAGAACCTCTGGGCACCAGACCCTCAATCACACTGGACCTGAGATTCCCAAACCTGCCTTATAGTCCGGCCACTGGATTCTAGAAGCCAAGAATTCTCAGCCACAGGGTCCTTACAGAGCAATGCCAAGATCCTAGGACTCTGTCCCTGGATCACTGGATCACAAATCCCTCACCACAGACAATTCATTTACCTTGACTTGGGGTCCCATACCCTTCCACCTTGATGCTGGGTCTACATTTTAAATGCCACCCTCAATCTCACACCACTGGATCCCAGAGTTCCAAGTCCCAAACCACTGGATTCTGGTTTCTGGAACCACAGGTGTGTGAGCTCCAAGGTGGGACCCAGATGCCACCACTGTTAACTTCCAGATTCCAAATTTCTTCAACCCCTTCTCTGGATACCATCCATTCTCCCAGATAATGCCAGGTTCCGAACCCTTTGCTCCTGCACCCCAAATTCTCAGACCACTCCCTAAGTCTGGATCCCAACAGCCCAGTGGCAGCTTCTCAGATCCCACAGGCATCCCAGACACACTCTGGAGCCGTTTCCTACTGCATGAAACCATACCATCAGGGATCCTTCTGGAAGCCCAGACCCCAGACCAGTGGCTCCCCACCAGGCAGTAAGGGATGAGAGGTCCCACACCACACCCCACATGAATGCTGGATCCCCCCCTTAGCTAAGACACACCTACCCTACCCAGGGGGGACCACTCCCCCAAATCACCTCCCTCCCCATCCCCACTCAGCAATGTCTTCCATACCCCTGCCCACCTTCCAGGCTAGTAACTTCCAGAGCCCAGGTCCCTCTGGGAGGATCTGGTCTGCTTGTCATGGGCGGGCAACTTCCAGGTGAAGCCAGGGGACACAGCCAAGGGGACCTTCTGCATCCCAGCACTGCCAGCCCTACTCGGGCCTCAGAAAGTCAAATTAAGGACCAAGACACAGCATCCTTCCTGAAACCCAGCATCCAGCTGCAAAATTAAACATCCCCAGACTGACTCGGGCTCTATTTTTCTACCAGACAGAACAAAGTCCCCTGGTTCCCCACCGCATTCCCAAACCTTCCACACTTCAACATTGGAGTCTGAGCTTAGGATAATTGGGGTGCCCTGTTTGACTCCCTAGTCTTTGGGGACCCCACCAAAGGGCTGTGAAAGAGGAACTGGGATGTTGAGGGGCAGGAGGACCCATGGCTCCCACCTCTCCCTCCAGCCCAAACCAAGTCCCACCTCCTGCCTGTGTGTGTCATTTCAAAAGAAACAAGAATAAATTTTCTAAGCTCTTTCATTGTTGCTTTATTTTTTTAATTAAATTTGTTTGTTTGAGGGAGGGACAGATGGAAGTCAGAGGAGAATTTGTGGGAGTCTGCCCTCTTTTTTTACCATGTGGATCCTGGGAATCAAACTCAGTGGTCAGGCTTGGGGGCAAGTGCCTTTGTTGACCCCACTGCAGTTTTGTGACTTTTAAAGAATTATGGAAATGGGTGTGTGGAACAACATTGATGTACTCCCAAGGAGGGAGAGGAGACATAGGTCTCTCTCTCTCTCTTTCTCCTTACTTCATTTATCTCTCTCCCCTACCTCTATCCTCTTTCTTTTTACCTTACCCCCCTTCCCACCTGCCTTCATCTCCCACTTCCTCCCTCTGGCCTCCCTCCCTCCTCTTTCCCCTACTTTCTTGCTTCCCCTCTATCCCCTCCCCATCTTTTCCTTCCTTCCCCCATTCTTCTGACCCTCCATTGCCTCTTCTGTCCCCTCCTCCTTTTTCCTCTTCTCTAAAAGATTGGAGCCTCGGTTTCTACTCCACTTATAAACAGCAAGCAGGCTGGAGAAATGGCTCACTATCAAGAGCTCACACTGCTTCTGCAGAGGACCTGAGTAGTCTCAACACCCACATGGCAACTCACAATCACCAGTAGCTTCAACTCCAGGATCCGACGCCCCCTTCTGGCCTCTGAGGACACTGCACTCACATGCACACACTGCATGAGGCCCTTGCCATACAAGCCTGACCACCTGAATCCTACCTCTGGGACTCACATGCAAGTGGAAGGGTGGAATCTACAAAGCTGTCATCTGACCTCTGCACATGCACCATAATACACGCACACACACACACTCGTAGAGAGAAGGGGCTTTAAATCTGGGTGAGGTGGCACACACCTGTAATCTCAGCACTTGGACTGGTGAAGACAAGATCAGTTCAGAGTCATTGCTGGCTGGGTACATAGCAAGTTTGAGGTTAGCCTGGGCTACATGAGACTGTCTTGCTGTTCACCACATCAAAAAAAAAATTTTTAACTTTTTTAATATTCCAAGTGGTGGTGGTGCACACCTTTAATCTCAGCACTTGGGAGGCAGAGGCAGACAGATCTCTGAGTTCACGGCTAGCCTGGTCTACAAAGCAAGTTTCAGAATAGTCAGGGCTACACAGAGGAACACTGTCTTATAAAAAAAGATTTATTGTCTGCACACAGAACTTGTTCACTGGGCTGCACAGCTATCCCCACCATTCATCTCTAGAATTCTCCACCTGTCCACACCAAAGCTGTCTCCCTTCAACTCTAACTGCATTCTGCTTCCTGCTTTGAGAAACGGAGGCAAGAGGATCAGGAGTTCAAAGTCATCCTCAGCTACTTGGTGAGTTTGAGACAAGCCTAGGCTTCATGCTGCTCTGTCTCAAAACAAATGAATAGTAAATATTGTTTAGGCACCATTTAGAGGACTGCACTAGCTCTTCCTGGGCCTCAGGATTAGGATGTGAACACCGTGGGAAGACAAGGATCAACTGCACTGCCTACCCATCAGGCCCATGAGCTCACAAGTACTCTTGTGACCTCATCCTCCCTTGCCCCTAAATTCACAAGCCAGGTAATCAGCCACTCTCAGCTGGGAGCCAGATAGACGCCCCAGGGACACTGAGACGGAGACCCTAATTCTTCAGCGGCTATGGGAGTCCATCCGGAGGTAACATAGGAGCCTTGCTAGAGGGTCAGGGCCTTATTTAGAAAAGCTCCACCCCTGGTCCCCCCAACCCATCCTGGCCCCAATACCCACCTGCATCCTGGAACCCAGGGAGCACACATATGTATGTGTTTGGACACGTGGGTGAAAACAACCCTGAACAACCTTCATTGTAACAGGTAAGTTTGGGAAGCTGGGTGATGCATGGCCTCAGGCTGGACCAAAGGGAAACACAACTATGGTGCCCATATGGTATGGAGTTTCTTTTCCTTCCAAGCAGAGTAGAATAATCCACACTGAGACCACGGGTGAGACCATGAAGTAGTTCACACCCGTTATCCCAGCACTCCTCAGAGGTGAGAACATGAGGTGGTTCACACCCAGCACTATAGGGGTGGGAGTTAGAGCATTAGGTGGTACACACCTATTATCCCAGCACTTGAGGGTGGGATCATGAGTTGGCTCACACCCATTATCCCAGCCCTAGAAGTTCAAAGTCATTCTTGGCTGTTTAGTGAGTTAGAGGCCAGTCTGGGCTAGATGAGACCTTGTCTCAAAAATAAAAAAAAATAAAATAAAAAATAAAAGGTGGGGTGCTGAGGAGACAGCTCAGTGGATGAAGTGCTTGGAGTTCATGCAAGCAAAGGTCCCTAGAACCTGTGTAAATTCTTGGCATGCCTGACCACCTGTAACCCCCACAGCCCAGAGGTGGAGATGGAGACTGGGACAAATTGCTGGCTAGTCCAGATGAACTGGAGCTCTAGGTTTGTGAGAGACTCACCTCAACATATAACAATGGTGGAGGAAAACACTGGACATCAACCGCTGGCCTATACACTTTCATACACACCCATCACTGCACACACATTCTCATGCACACACACAGCCACACATACTACCACATACACACTCACACGCATGCACTCTCACACACATCACTACACACACATACAACCACTATACATGCACTCACATGCATTCACTTTCACACTCACACACATGTACATACCATTGCACATGCACTCACATTCATTCACTCTCATGCTCACACACAAATCACACACAAATAAAAATAAGTAAATCATCAAGAAAGAAATCAGTCAAGCATGGCAGTGTACACCTCTAATCCCAGTTCTCAGGAGGCAGAGGCAGGTGGATCTCTGAGTACAAGGCCAACCTGTTCTACAGAATGAGTTCTAGGACAGCCCAAGCTACACAGAGACCCTGTCACAAAACAAAGAAAGAAAGAAACAAAGAAAACCATCAAGCCACCCCCTCCAAAGAATTGTTCACATCAAGGCAGCAAAGAAAAGCAGGGAGGGGGCTCCATAAGGAGCAAGCTCCTTCAGAGCTGAATGTGGCCAAGCAGGGGATGTTCTTGCAGGTTCTGGACACAGGAGAGCAGCTGATAGTCCCTGTGGATGTCTTGGAAGAGGAGAACAAGGGGGCTTTGTGGAAGTTTCTGCTCTCAGGAGCCATGGCTGGGGCAGTGTCTCGCACAGGGACAGCCCCTCTGGACAGAGCCAGGGTATACATGCAGGTTTGTCCACAGAGTTGGAGCTTTTGGGGGAGCCAGAATGGGTGGAGAGAGGTGGAGGAGATGGAGTTGGTGGAGCTTGGGATGGACTGGGACTAGACATCGAGGTCTCTTAAAGCTGGTGCTGAGACTGGAGTTGTGGGTGATGGGGACAGGAAGTAGAGTCCCCCGGGTTGGATTTATAGAACTCCAGGCAGAAAGAGCAACACAAAGCAAGGTAAAAGGTTTGGAGGTCTGCAGGTTGTGGGTGATGTCTTTGAGGTGTTTGCAGGGGGACATGGGAAGGGGTGGGAGGAACTGAGGATGGACCCCAAGGCTTCACACATGCCAGAGAAGTCCTCACTGCTGAACAATGTTCCCAGCCCTCCTTTCTTTCTTTTTGAAAACAGATTTATCTTTACTTTATGTGTTTGAGAGTTTGAATACATGTCTGTGCACCACAGGCATGCAGTGCTGCTGGAGGCCAGAAGGGGGCATTGGGACTTAGAGGTGGTTGTGAGCCTCCACGCGGGTGCTGGGAGCCAAACCAGTCTCCTCCGCAAAAGCAGCAGGTGCTCTTGACCCCTGAGCCATCTCTCCAGCCCAGTGCTCTAACCACTGGACTGTCCCTCCCGGAGCCTTGTCACTTTATTTTCAGGCTTCTCAGTAAGTAGTCCAGTTTGGCCCTGAACTCGCTCTGTAGCCCAGAAAGGACTTGAACTACAGTGTTTCTATGGTCCTAAGTAGTTGGGATCACAGACCAGCCTTGCCAGACCTGACCCCAGTGGGTTTTTAGATAAATGTGAAGACTAAATAGGTAAATCTACCTAGTGGTACAGGCCTATGATCCCAGCTATTCCGGAGGCTGAAGTGGGAGGATCTCCACTTCAAGGCCAGCTCAGGCAATTTTAGTAATACGACCCTGTGTCAAAGTATAAAGTAAGAAGAGGCTAGGGACATGGCTGATGTATAGAGCCACTGCCTAGAGTGAAGGGCTGGAGACATGGTCAGGGTGAAGCCCTGCCTAGAATCTCCCAGTGAGGAGTGGGGGTGTGGTCCAGTGGCCCAGTCTCACTTAGAATCCCCCAGTGAGGGGCTGGGGCATGGTCAGGGGTGGAGCACCTGCCTAGAATCCCCCTAGGGAGGGGCTGGGAATACCCGGTGCAGTCTCAGGGCTGCACTCCCCTCCCGCTCCCCAGGTGTACTCCTCCAAGAGTAACTTCAGGCACCTGCTGAGTGGCCTACAGAGCCTGGTCCAGGAGGGAGGTGTCCGCTCGCTCTGGCGGGGCAATGGCATCAACGTGCTCAAGATCGCTCCAGAATATGCCATCAAGTTCTCTGTGTTTGAGCAGGTGAGCCTGGGGGGGACTTACCACAGATAAGTTCCCCAGAGTGCAAGGCAGCCCTCTGCCCTCCAGGTGCACAGTGCTGGCAGTTTCTCTCACACACCCCTCCCCTTGCAGTGTAAGAATTTCTTCTACGGTATGCAGGACTACCCGCCCTTCCAGGAACGGCTGATAGCAGGCTCCCTGGCTGTGGCCATCTCCCAGACTTTCATCAACCCCATGGAGGTAAGGCCGGAGAACCCCAATAGTCAGAGCTGGTTCTGGAGCACCCACTACCTTTTCTCTCTCTCTTCCCCTCTTCACCCTCCTCACTTTCCTCTCCCTCTCCCTCTCCCCCTCTCTCTCTCTCTGGTTTTGTTTATTTTGGCTTTTGAGATAGGTTTTCTAGAATTCTCTCTGTAGACCAGGTTGTCTTCGAACTAACAGAGATTCTCCTGCCTCTGCCTCTGCTTCCCGAGCACT